AAAAAAAAAATAACATAGAACAACAAGGAAGGTGGTTTTGAATATTTACGGTAGGATTAGACGAGTTAAAAAAAATTAAACCTCAACTAATCAAAATAGCTTAAATATCTAAAGATGTTATTGCAATCCAATGCCAAACATGACTTATTAGATTTATTCTAAATTAATTAATGAATTAAAAAAAATCTTTGAATTTAATTCAACAAGAAGAATTTTATTAATTATAATTAATATTCATTGATATAATCAGTTAAATGCTAAAAAAATAACACGGTTAGTTAAATGAATGGGAAAAAAGGTTACTTGTCTCATAATATTATTCAAACCTAATAGGGTTATTGGTTGGTTAACTTAGAAAAGAAAAAATTGTAAAGATAATTTTTATAACAATGGTTGCAACTGAAAATTGTTGTGTCATTAAAGTTGATTCCGGATCTTAACATCAAATCGTGATGGCGGTCTTATCTGCCTTGCTTCAGTCTCCACTAAGTAATTACAATTATAAAACCCTAATTCTAATATATTAAATTGAATTAATCATATTTCTTTTTCATAAGCTAAACAATTCATCGATCAAGTACAACTCAATTATCGCATTACTGCCTTCTTTTATCTTTCATTTGCTTTCACCGCTGTACCATAACACATGCAAAAGGAGATGATTATATTGAACATAACATAATTAAAAATAAAACGAATTTATGCTATGAAAGCATAAACCTCAACCTCAGCTTATAAAATTAAGTTAATTTAAAGTTACTAACTTAGATTTAAAGTTTATTTTTTAAATATAATATCAATTATCTAAAAGAATATTTTTTATAATAATTTCAGAATCATCATAAATGCATTTAACATAAAAAATTTATATTTTTATGACGGTTGAAGAATTGTCATAAAAGAATCACTTCTATATCGATTGGAAATGAATAATCATATAGAAAAAAGCATTAAAAATGTCATGTCCATCAAAGAAAACTTCGTATGATGATGATTAGAGTTTTAATCTTCATAAAATGTGGTCCTATGACGATGATTATAGTTTTAATCTTCGTAGAATATGATACTAATGATTAGTGTTACATATGTCATAAGAAATAATACATGGCGTGTTTAACCTTAACCATTATAGAAAGTATATGTTTTTTTTTTTCATGATTATTCCTTCTGTATTTATATAATAAATACCCTGTAAAATAATATAATTTTCAATCATAAACTTCTAAATAAAATCTCTGATCTAATATAATACATGATCATAATAAATACCTTACATAATAATCATAGTTCCCAAACACAAATTCTCAATTAAAATGTTAATAATCTAGTATAATATGTAATCATTTACATAACAAATACCACGTTCTATAAGAGAGGTGTACAACTCTAAGAAAGGGAGAGGTGTGTGGTTCTAAGAGAGGCAATCATATTCAAGCTTCATGTGGAGGTCTTTATAATTAGTGTCAAAGATGAGGGTGTCGAGATCTTCATTAAGGAGTTAATACTTGCGAAAGTTTGCATTTGTGATTTATGTATTTGAGTTTTATTTTAAGTTTTTTTAGAATTTCTTAAACTTATGTATTTGTATATAGAGATATAAAAAAGTAATGTAAAATTTTGAGTTATATGTCTTGAGAAAGAATTCTCTTAGATTCTTAAATTAAAATTTAGATTCTTATAAAAGATTAACATTTTTATGATAAATTTTCATTTAACTTATTAATATGTTAGATTGTGATGTCAGTTATTTTTATCTTATTTTGTATATTTGTCTAATTTATTTTTGTTGTGTCTCGAATTTAGAAAGGATCATATTTTTTTTTCTAGAAAAATCTTATGAGAGACACATGAAGTTGGGAAGAAAATAATATTCATTCTATAATTATTTGGCTTAATAAGAACAATGAGCTTGTGCTCACTTAGATTGGTTGTTGCCATCCCTATGTATAACGAATGAAAAAGTGAGTAAAACAACGCTGGTTCTAGAATCCCGATCGATGTTCCTAAAAAACGCAGAAAATGAGGGATTCGCAAAGTTTTGGGTAGGATTGAAATTTGGGATGCCTTGAAGATTAGCCATGAAATACGATTGAAAAGGTCCAACGGAAACGTTTACCCTATAGCCAAAGGTTGGTGACCATTTTAACCACTCATAGTAATACTAGTCGACGTAAACACTAACCAAAATAAATAATATTATGTCAATAGTCCACACAAACACCCCTTGCTAACAGTCATTAATCAATGTAAGAGCTGCTAATGTACACATGAAACTTCGTTTTGGTTAAACAAGATCATTTAATTAGCGTACTGAGAGTAATTTTGTTAGAATTTTGAGGAATAACGGTAGGTATTGGGTACTGTTTGATACATTTGTACCTACAGCATCTACAATGAGAGAGAATGTGGTTTGAATTAAGCACACGTTCTGATTGGACTATAGCAGAAGTTTGGCAAAGGTTTTGGTGGGTAGAAATGGGTGAAGGTAGTTGAAGAGGATCATAGTAGACGAAAATCTATATCCCAATTAGGGTGTAACATAGACTCAACCCCCTCGTGCACAAATAATTGCAACTAGCCTTCCTAATAAATACTACACATTTTCCCATCCCTTTATACTAATTGATTATGACACTTTTTGGCTGGATTATTGACTATAACACAAAACGCACAATATTGGACTATTCAAGCTCATATTTACTCTTGGTTTGAGTGAGTAAATACGCGTAAAACAAAGTGGTAGTATTGGAATTAATTCACGATATACGTAACCGAAGCTTGATATATATAGTTATTTAAAATTAATATACAGGAAGAAAAAAACTACATGGTTTTGGGAGAGTTCATGTTTGTCAAAGAGTTAGCTGTGCATGTATTTATTAAAAATAATATGTGGATGCAAGTTGTGAAAAGCGGAGAAGCCATTTATAAGAGCTGTTCATGGTGATGAAAAAGAGCTTATAAATTTTGGATGATCTATTTTCCGTACTATAGTTCTGAAGAAGGTTTTTCAGTTTTGGCAAGGAATCCGTTAATTAATTGGGCTGACAGTTAAGAAGATGGAAGAAAACCTACCTCCTGGGTTCAGGTTCCATCCTACAGATGAAGAACTCATCACATATTATTTATTAAGGAAAGTGTCTGACGTTAGCTTCACATCCAAGGTTGTCGCAGTTGTTGATCTCAATAAATCTGAACCTTGGGACCTCCCAGGTACACTTTTACACATCTTCCTCATCATCTCTCTTTATTATATACCTGCTTTTCACTCTCTTCAATTCCAAAACCTACACCTATATATATATATATACCTTCTTTTTATTAATATCCTTTTGCATGACCTTGTACTTATGTTCTTTGATTTGCGGTTATTTGCAAGATATTTTACATGTTCAAGTCAGAAAAACAGAAAATATACCTTTTCTGTCTGTTAATTTTCATCATCAGAAGCGTAATTAAATGAGTAAACGAACTTGGTATATGTATATGTCTTGTTCTTCAGACCAATTTCCTCATTTATTTGTAGTGTTATTCAAGAAAATTTGACATTCCTTCTGAATTTTTTGGTGTTGTCTTCTGGAGCATTAATAATATACTAACGTTAGAACTTTAAAGATCATTTTAATATGTTTTAAAACGTTAAAATCTGTAAGTATATAATTTTGAGATGCATGCATGTAGGAATAAGTGAGATATTTGATGTTTGTGATATGAAATAGGTAAGGCTTCGATGGGGGAGAAGGAATGGTATTTCTTCAGCCTGAAAGATCGGAAATATCCGACGGGGCTTCGGACGAACCGAGCGACGGAATCAGGGTATTGGAAAACCACCGGAAAAGATAAGGAGATATTTGGCGGTGGAGTTTTGATAGGGATGAAGAAAACTTTGGTGTTTTATATGGGTAGAGCTCCAAGGGGTGAGAAAAGTAACTGGGTTATGCATGAATATAGACTTCAAAACAAGCAGCCCTATAGATCTTCTAAGGTAAGTAAATCAATGCATTATATATGCATTCACATATATATATATATATATATATATATATATATATATATATATATATATACTATCAATAAATATCATATTCATTTTATAAATACAACAGACATCAATTCTCAAAAATATTCATTTAATTCATAGCAGAATGTTTCATTCATAATAAAATTATAAAATTATTGGAGTTAAAAGCTTTCAATAATTTAATTGTACCAATAATGTTCAGATATCTTATTATGCTTAATGTTGACAGAGAAAATTAATTATTAATTAAACCTTTTTCTTTAAAGATATTAATTGAAAAAAGGCACGTATATATAGCTATTTAAAATAAAATAAATAAATGTATTTTTTTGCTTATCAAAATCACTCTTAAATTTATTACGTGAATTGGATTGGATGCATCAAGAATATATATATACCATTTTCTTGAAATATTCTAATGCATATGTCGAGAAAGCACATGCAATAACTGAGTTTGAAAAATGTTTAAACTTATTTTGAAAATTCAACACATATATATCTTTTACAACAACATAATCAGCTTTTAAACATCATTAAATAAATGTATCAATATAATTATGGTCTTCTTGAAATATCACACGCAAACACAGATTCGTGGTAATTTTGGTTGTTTCTTGGTAATAACTTGGTGTACTTAAATATTCATATATAGAGTCATATATAACTGAAATAAAGTACAATCTATTTACTTTAAATGGAAAAGTGTATTTTATAAGATAAAGCACAGTTATAGTTTATAGGCATTTATTAAAAAATAACAAGTTGAATTAAAACGAAAGTTATCTATCATGCATAGTTTTTTATCTGAGATGGTTTTGTTAACTTCTGCAGGAAGAATGGGTGATTTGCAGAGTCTTCCAGAAGAGCTCAGCACCAAAGAAAGCGCAGCAGACATCATCCTCTCAACCATCTCAAGAGTCTCCTACCTCAATGGCGAATGAATTTGGTGATGCAGACCTACCAAATCTGAATAGCATTGCAAATTCATCTAGTGTTGCAGCACAAATTTACAACAGCACTGGTGATCCCAGCAATGTCAGCACAAACATGAACTCGACCATGAATTGGCCTTCTGCAACTGAGCTTCCATCTCTTCCATGGCCTTCTGGGTTGATGCTGAATCCAAACCTTTCTGTCAATTCATTGCTTCTCAGGGCATTGCAGCTTAGGAGTACATATCAACAAAGAGAAGCTGCAACTGGTGATCACTTTGCAACGTACGTTCCTCAAACATTTCCTCACAATAATATTGGAACTGATAATCTCACTCCAAATCTCAGTGTCTCAGCTTCTTCCAGAGCTTTAGAACTGCAGGAGCAACCATTCAATATGGACTCCATTTGGTGAAGTGCCTGTGTAAATCGTGTAAACCTAGCTTGTGAATTATTGTGCTGTAGATGAAAATGGTTCCATTTCTAAGTTCAATAATGGAATCACTTTCTTTAAGGTTGTTAATTACTACCTTTTCAAGAGAAAACCAGACTCAACTCTTGATGTTGTAAACATTACTCGTGCATTGTTGTAATCTGTCAAAGTTTATTGGACTGCTTCTCGGTGGTTGTAGCAACAGAATTAACTTGGATGAGAAATGTGAAGGAAAAATCCTTACAGAACAGTTGCATCCAAGACTTTACTATATTTCCACTAATATGTACAATGAAGTTTAGTTAATTATTATTTTTAAATTCGGAAGCTAGATTATATGTGTTTCATACTGTTTGATATTCATTTTCTCTCTTGCTGAAATAATGAAACTTTCTATAATAGAGAATAAACTTTTTAGATTTCTACAAAAAAGCTTAAAACATTAGTTAGAACAAGTAGAAAGATGAAAAAAAAAATGAAATGAAAAAGAGAACACAATTGACACGGTAAACTATGTTATATATATTGTGTTTCATTTTTATACCTATTGTTGAGACATGAATTTTGTACTAATATATGTAATTTTCTGTATACTACATTAATTTACTTTGAAATAAGCTAAATTCATATTTAATGTGATGTGTGAGATTTGATAGGGAAGTTATAAATGAGTAATCAATGATTATTTTAATTCTACTTAGCCACAAACTTCTAAAGTTAAGTATGAGAATTTTAAATAACATACTTTTCATTATAATAAAATTTTGTATGAAAAAGATTTGTGAAAAAAAGAATCATAATTAATATTAAAATATTTAGCACATAATAAATTATATTGAAAGTATAGTTACTTATGTTGGTAATAATTTTTATTATTATATATGATTATTATAATAATAAATATTCTTACAATTAATTACTCAATTTTTAGTTTACGTGTTCCTTATAGATGAAAAATTTAGACAAGGTATCTGTCGGCAATGACACATGGAATATACAATTTATAATATTTTATTATGGTTTGTAAAATCGGTTATTAGTTTTATTGTTTATTTTTTCACAAAATGTGAAAATTTTAAATATAATAACTTCGTAATATTTAATATTAATATAAAAGAAACATGACATTCGGATATGCAGAAATCATCCAACCTATGTTCTATGTTGATAAAGATACTTTGAAGAAATGCGAGTTCAAGTTAGGAAATATACATAGTTGCTTCTAAATATAAATATCAACCTGGACTTCAAATATGAATTTTTGGAATAAATTAAGTGATGCATTTCTAAAATAAATTTTAGAATGTACATAGAATTTTAATGAGTGCATCTCAAAGTGATTTGTAAGCAAACTTAACATCCCACAGATATGTATAAATAAAACTCTCACCACCTAAACTCTATTTTTTATAATTCATGAGTTTAATAGAGTTAGGCTGACTTCTTATCCAATACATATTCAAACTCATATATAATGAAACAATTCTCTATAAAATTACTCTCATTCATACCACAAATAAACAAGAAAATCTTTATAAATCATAAAACACCCTTAATTTCCAATGTTAGAACATTTTACATAGCACATTTATGCTAAGTGTCAGCACTAATGCTCAAAATCAGCCTAAACAAGCTAATGCCCAACGTCAAGACCACTAGAATTGTATATCAAGTAAGCATCCAACAATGGTTAGTGTCCCAAACCCCACTTGCACTATTCACAAACATGTTAATACTTGAACAAAATAATAATAATAAACTTTCCTTTTCTTTACAAAACTATTCTTTGACTAAAAAAATGTTTTCTTTATTCCTCGCATAATGATCTAAATATACAAACAAACTTTAATTAAAAATTTAAGCATATTTTACAAACAAGAAGAAATTCACATTTGAGTTATTTTAAGTCATATATATATTAAACTTCAAATCTCATTAAACTCAAAACACTCGTTGACATAAAAAAACAAAAATTATTCTTACTCCAATTGAATGAATAAAATTCTCTATCAGAATTAATTCTATAATATTTAATTTTTTAAATAATGAAGGTGTTACAATTTTAAATAGAAGATAAAGGAGAATTTTAGAAAAATTATAAAAAAATTATAACTTTTATAAAATAAAACTCAATTAATAGAAATTCTATTTATAATCTTCACCTTTTATTAATAAAATAATAAATATTTGTTTTTTAAAAATCACTCCTACTCCTAAATTATTTTCTAGATTCTTAGATGAATAACACTCAACATTTCATATTTCTAAATATAATTAGATTTTATGCAACTTAATTATTTTAAATAAAATTCAAAAATATATAATTATATGTTTAGCATATGAAATATAAAATTTTGATTTTAATATAAAAATGTTTTAGTTCTTCAAAATTTATATATATATATATATATATATATATATATATATATTCTTCATCTTTAATATTAAAATTCAAGTTTAGATGAGATTTTCAAAACTATTCTTAAAATTTATTATTAAAAATTAAAATTTAATATTTCATTATATTTAAAGAACTAAAAGCAGTTAATTTTTTTTTATTTATCCAACTTATATTCAAATAAAATTCTATTTGTTAATAAATTTTAACGTAATTCATATAAAATATACAATTTAATCTCATAATTATAAAATACTTTCTAAACGAAAATGAAAATCATTGTCACTGAATATTTTTTTGTAGATAATAAAGTTGTCTTTCTAATCAGTGTCTGTGTAATATTGGTTAAAATATCGATAACGCTTTAATTAAAAGTAACACATCGATTAAAAATCACAGTAAAATTAGTCATAACACTTTTACTAAAATATTCTTATCTTTAATTTCTTAACTCGAACACAGAAACAGTTATCAACTTTGACCTAAATAAAATTGATATATTATGAGTTAGCAATGTCATGTGTGAGCACGATTCATTTACAAAGACAAGCCTGATAAGATGTTTAACTTTATTTATTAGGTTAAACAAGCATGCATTTAATAATTTACAAATATATAAGCTTATCTAGTTATATTTGAGGTTATACCTAGCACTAAGAAGAATGAAAAGCATCCGTAAGGATGGGGTCAGAATGTACAAGAAAACATAGCTTATCCATGCCTCAAGAACTTTGAAGGAATAGGACTCCAGATATTCTATTCTTAACTGCAGACAGACGATCCATTCAAACTGCTGTCAGTAAACCTGCCTCTTCATAAGCCAAGGATACTATGCTGGCAATTAAAAGGAAAAGACTATGTCGTGTTTATAAAACCAAAAAAAATAAGCCTCAAGAAAATTTTAGATCAATTTTTTAAAATTCAGTATATGAAAATCACAATTATGAACCTACAAGCGATCGAAAGCAGAGTTTATATATACCTAGCTGGCTGCAGGCAATGGCAGAAGTCACTCAGGAGGAACTAACTTCATTGCAAAATGTAAACCTGCCTTCATAGATTTGAAACCCATCCTTTTCAAAGTACTAAAATTCAGAATTCTTATCATTGTAATCACTGTATTCCTCGCCATTGAAATCACCATAATTGTCATCTCCGTCAGAGAATCCATCCTCACTCTGCAGAACAACCCCACCAGTAGATAGTTAATTTTCACTCTGATCAAAAACTAATTTGCATTTTAGTTTCTTTTCGTCAATCGTTCACATCTTAAGCCTCTCTCATATGATAATAAATTTAATTATAAAATCTCACTGGACTCTATACGTTTTCCATATAAGATCCCAAAGTTGGTATCCAGACCTTTTATAAGAAACTGAATTACAATTACAAGAAAATACTACATGCAGGTGTTATTGTTTCGCGTTAAAATGAAATTACTAAGAATATCATAAGCGAATACTTTACATGCGACCAACTAATCCATTTAGGTAAATATAAATAATGAAATTATGATAAGTGAGTACTTACAAGTTCTTTTTTCATTTTTTCTATTTTTTCCCCCAATTCAGTTACATGTTGACTCAGAGCCTGCACAAGTTATTCAAGATTAAACGATACACCACAGATACAAAAATGAGAAAAATAGATATGTAATTTAAAAATAAAATAAAATAAAATTGGAACCTCGTGCCGTTGCATGGCTATTGACCGCTGCAATGCCTTTGCCTTTGTTAGAAGGTTTCTAGGCCTTAGAGTCATAGGTCGCCTATAATTCTTTCCACGATAGTAAATAAGAGAAAATCCTTTAGGAATTTCATCTATTGCTACTAGTATTCCACCACTCTCATATTCCAGTAACCTAGCCGTGTCTTCAACAAAAGCAAGGGTCTTTTGTTTTGTTATTAATTTAACAAGTTCTCGATGCCTCCAGTGCAGATGCATGTTCTCAATGACACCATCGAAAACACCACGTATACCTGCAGATTATCATTAACAGCTGTTCATACTGTGCATCATTGTAATAAAGAAACTTTTATACAGCCACATGTTACTCACCAAGAGGCAAGTATGCCTTCATTCTTAAACCAACTGAACGGAACATAACACGTTCTTCATCTGTGATTGTTTCCTTGTCATAATCAGGACCAACTGGAACCAAAGATACTTCTATTTTCGCTAATAGCTTTTCTGCTCTAAGCCTTTTGGCTTGGGCCTGTTCATGCATTTAGAGTTTTAAATATTAATTTAGCAAATTAAAGTTAAACATGAACTTTATAAAACTGAAAGAAGACAAGCATGTACCCCAGTTAGTAAAATGATAAGTTGAAACTTGAAGGATTTACATTGACACTAATCCAGAATTCCAACCTAGGGCTATCTCTAAGTCTTATCAATATTTATGCCCCTTTTAGTGCCACTTCTCATGTCACGGTTCCATTAAAGGATCAGATGCTGAGTTTTACTAAAGACTAATGCACGCAATAAAGTTACCACATTTCTAAGATTCAAAAGCCCCTCATGCCAAGCTGAACTTTATAGACTGAGTACCAAGGGTCGTTAAATATTTTTTTCTACACCAAATTATTGAAAGGTCCATTCCAAAGCTTTCATCACTGAAATATAACCCCTAAAAGGCAAACATAACATCCTAAATTTTTGGAAACCTAAAAGTAGGTTACAGTATTTAACTCCAAGAAGTCAAGATCTTGCAACGAAAGGAGATCCAACGAAAATTATGACATCTCAATAGTTCCACTGATAATGACCCAACAACAACCTAATGGTAATCTGCAGAATATTCCAACAAGCCTCTTCACAGTGAAAGTATGACTACTCCAGTTTGATTCCAACAAGCAAGGCACTATCAATATAACACGATTACTTTCCCAAGCATATATAATATAACCTTCACAAAACCAGTAGATACTTACAACAGCTAGTTTACATTCAATTTTTTTGGCAAGCTTAGCATTCTTGGCTTTGGCAACCTCTTGCCTCATCCTCTCACGTTCTTCAGTAGATATATCCCTTCCCCAGCATGCCTGAGCCTCATAGAACTCAGCCAATGATCCTGCTTGGGATTTTGATTCATCTTCCCTTGAAGGAGCTATGTCATGAACTTTGCACCGCACCTTCTCCTCAACATCCTGCACATGTTTTGTCATTTCCTGTCTTTCAGCAATAACAGCAGCCACACTGGTTGGAACAAAGTCCTTCCCACGATATATTACAATGTAATATTTGTTCCGCAGGAGTAAAGTACCTCCTGTTAATTTCTGCACCATGAAAGAAAAACAAACTAGTCGATGAGCATGAATTAGCAACAAAAGAATGCACCATTTGACTATGTAAATAAAATTTAGCATTTACACACAGACTCAATGCAGAAAAACAGATTAGCATCTTCAATATAATATTCATTTGTATGAGAAAATAAAAATAGTTCAACACTACCTAGTGAATGATATTTTGACAACAACAATTGGAGAAAATGGATTAGCTCAAGTATATAAAAAAAAATTCATTACTCTTCGCTTTCTTATTTGCTAACTGAAACAGTTGATGGAACAGGCAAACTGACTAATTCTCAAAGATAAAATCATAAAGCAATTGTAAATTTTGCTGGTGACTATTAGTTATTATATCTCAATTAACCAAAACTATAGCCAACAGCTTCAGAAAAAGAATCAAGGATACTTAATTCTAACAAATACCATATTTGGTGTGCACCATTGAAGACTTAAGGGGCCTTTGACATATTAACAGCACCATTAATTCTAATAATTCAATCGTTCAGATTTTCCATTTTATTAGGCTCAGCAACCCATTACACATTCTCAATTGCACAAGCAACTAACACCAAATATGAAATTACAGAGCACAAACCTTCAGCTCCTGAGCCATCAGTTCATTGTTTGTATTCACAATACCACGCTTGACTCCAATCTTTGCAACTAAACTTTTCTCCCACAGCCTGAGAATAGCAGATGCCAGACCTTGAAGATTTCTATTTCTCCCTACATAAAAATCAGCACAAAATTCATATTAGTAAAAGGAACAAAAATTCAACAAAACAGCATAGCAGCCAAACATTACCCAAGGCAAAGTGACAAGGAAGAGATTTAGCAAGTTTCCGCATATTCGTGAGTTCATCATTAGTCAGTCGTGGATGCATTCCAGCAGGAAGAAGCCTAAGAGGCGTCTTGTAACCAGGAACTGTGGGGGGAAGTAAATCAGCATCAATTGGAAGTATTCCAGTGCCCCACCATTCAACAAAACGAGGACCAAACCCATCAAGCATCCTGTTAAACTCCACTTCTTCTGGAGTCATGTTCTCCTCCTTCCAAAAAACTGCCTCACTCTTTGCCAGCATCAGCGCCGCGTCCCCGGCTGCTGGCACAGGAATTCGATCATCTCCTTCCTTTTCAATCGGTTGCATCGGCCCTTGGTAATTTCTACCTCGGTACACCCACATATAACTCCCCGACCTCCATATAACTAACCCTCTAGTTCTACACTGCGAAAGGTCACAACAATTCAGTTCACAAATTATTCAACACTCAACACAACATGATATATCCTTTCCCACACCAAGCCTAAGTAGGTGCAAGGATTCAAATTGAATCATTCAAAAATCATATTGACTAAAGTAATTTTAAGTAAATGTTCATATGTTTGGTTTCATGTAGAGAATTTTATTTCGAAACTAAAATTAAGTTTTAAGTTAAAAAAACTGTAGGTGACTTGCATTGCATTAAATAAAAAATCTTATTCAGAATGTTGAATTTTACTACTAACTTGCTACTACAATAAAATATCAAAATGTAAATCACCAATTTTAACAAAACTAAATTTCGCAATCAGTTCCATTTAAGATCAATTTTGCAAATGCTCATCACTCAAACACAAGAACATTAGTTATTAACACAAATAGGGATTGCATTGTTAAGGAAAAAACCTCGACAATTTGATGAGCCAACTTCATGTTCTGAGCAAGAAGCTCGTGAAACTTGAGTCTCACCAACTCGCAGTTGCTCCACTGCCGGTGAATCTTGTCGAGCACGGCTCGCGTCAGGCCAGCTTTGGGGATAGTGACCTTCTCCTTAAGACTCATTCTCAGCGTTCGCAACCGCCGCAGCTCCTCCTCCTCCAGCGTTTTCTCCGCCAGCGTCACTGCATTAACACTCTTCTTCTTTAGTTTCTCCTTCTGCTGTTCCTCGTGCTCCTCGCACTCTTCCCCCTCTCGCTTGTCCCACGGCAAAAGCACCTCATCGGGACGAAGCCATTCGCGACGCAGGAAATCGTCGTCATCGTTGTCGGCGTGGTCGGCGGAGGCTAACCCTAAGTTGCGCAAACGTAGGGCGATTCTCTCGATGGCGTTGGTGGTTTTGTCAGCGTGGCGGGGAGTGGGAATAGGGGCGAACAAATCATCGTTGTCATCGTGGCAAGTAGTTGGGAGAGAGGAGAAGGTGTTGAGAGCACGAACGCGAATGCAAATTCCTACTGGGAATGTGAATTTGAATTTGGAAGAGGCGAAGAGAACGTAGGAAGAGGGTATAGCGAGTGGAAGTGATGATAGTAAAGCATTTGTGACGTTCAAACGCATTTTCAGTTACAGCAATCAATTTTCATTTTCACTTTCTTCCAATGGAAAGAATCAAAACTCAAGACAGCGAGAGAAAGATTAGACTACAAGGCTGCACCAATTCCTGTGGGTTATGTCTAGATTCGCTACTCTGTAGGAACTGAACCTGTACAACACATTCTAGATATTTTATACCGTTAAGTTAATATCTCTTTGAATAAAAACAAAGTTTAATACGTTTTGAACTTAGTATAAAATATTTTACATCGTCGACTAATAAAAAAAAATATTATTATAACTGGCATAATACAATTAGTATGACTGTGTTAACATATTTATTAAAATAAATAAAAATTGAATACATACAATAATTTTAATTTTATATACATTTCAAAATCAAATTATTTATATTTTAAAATTTAAAATTCAACGCATAAGGTAATATCATAACAGTGTAGAACTTTACACGGAAGGAAAAGGGATTTATGTTTTATAATTTGACAAACTGTAGAGGAACATAAACTTATTGCAAATTCTTGATCAATTACACATGTGAACCGTTGCTGTGTAGCGGGGAACTACACAAGAATTCTTTGATAAATGTGTACGGAGTTTGTACGTAATGATTCCCATAAGCAATATATTACAAGAGAATGATAAAAGAATCTAATGTTAATGATAACCTTAGAGAGATGATGCTACGAGGATCAATTAATTTCCATTTTGAGAAGGACTGCTAGAGAGGGAAGAAGAAGAATTGAGGATCTCTTGACCCAGTTCATTTATTTTGCTGAGAAGAAGCATTTGCTCGGTCTCCAGCTGTGCTACGTACCCTTCCATTGTATCCTCTAGACTTTCTAACTCGCTCAAAGTTGATGTCAGTCCTTCAAGATTTCCATCCTCTATTAATGATCGAAACTTTTTCAACATCTCTCTCATCTGATAAAGAGTTCAATTTCAATAGTTTGTCAGAATTGCAGAGTAAAGATTTCCAATTAACAAGCCAAGCAATAACATAAAGATCGACCAACAATAGACAAATGAAACTAAACCATAGACACGTTTTTACTCACTGAATATGGACAAAAGAGAGTTTGATTGTGAAATCGTAATAGATATGCATTGCCTTTCAAGGCAACCATTAGTTCATTCTCAGAGCAGAAAAAGTAATATTACATATTGTATATGTACAAATAAGTGTTTTCTAGCATGCAGGATGAACTCACCTGGGTAGGAATTTGATGTGATTTACTTAAAGAAGATGGTTGAGAGTCTAGGGAACTTTTTGTTTGCATTTCTGGAACTTTTCTGGTAATTTGGATGTGTATCTCGCCACTTTTAACCCCTTGGAGAGGTATCCATTTGTCAGACATCTGGTTTGGAGGTAACCTTTGATATTCTACAACACATTCCCCTATACTTGATGTGGGTAGTAAAGCATTATGGTCCCTAACATGCAGTGTCAGGGGACTACCATCGTCAAGGAACTCTAAGGTTTGGTTCCAACGAGGATTGAGTGTTTTGTGTATAACCTGCCACACAGTGCCACACGCAGAAAAAAAAAATCAAGGCTTGCAAGAGTGAAACATCAAGAACATGCAAATGCAACTGAAATTGAACTTGTGAAAATAACTGTCGTAACAAATGAATGGAAAGGTACAACAAAAAAACATCTGAATGAGAAGACCAGAGATTCCCCTCTGGAGAGTATTCTAAAAAATTGAGATGGTATATGTTTGCCCTTATTATTAGTCTTTTACCACATATATAATCATCAATTAATGGCAGCCCAATGAAAATGCAAAAAGACAAGATTAGCAATTTATAATCACAAATGTGCCATAACCATCGGTATCATGCAGAAGAAACTACAGTCATAATCATCTTTAGAGTTCTAACCTTTGTCCTCCGCTTCAAGTTCCCATAGTTCACCCTCACATAAGGATCACTTGTCCCTCGAAGATCGGCAGCAATAAGGTCTCTTGCTTCAATCACAACAAGTTCTATCCAACCATTGGCTGAATTCTGTGTATATTAAAGGATTAGTACATGCTAGAGCTTGCAAAGAAAATACGGCCAGAGAAAACTCCGCATGGGTAAATAATTGAAGTGATAATAGACTTAGTATTAGCTTTGTACATCATTTTGCTTTATAACTTGTTTAAAAGAATTGCTAATTTCCTGTTGAAAAAACTTACCCTTGATCCTTCTTGGTCCTCAACCCTAACTACTTCAATTTTAAGTCTTAATTCACCAGAACTCACTCCTTCAAGTGGGATCCATTCATCCTTGATTGACCCGTCCCCCAGTCCTTCCAAATTTACATTTGCAGTACCAATATTTTCATCTCCAAAAATTTCTTCACTGAAGCATTTTACATTTAGGTATTCATCACCATCATTCTCATCAAAATCAAATGATTCATTCCAGGAAGGATTTGTAGTAGTAGGAGGAGCAACCTTTGTTCTCTTACCAACCTGAAAAGATTATAACAACAGAATAAGATAGTGTTGTTATGAACATTCATTGCGTAGGTTATCTTTATGTGGCAGAGATCTCACTTAATCAATTAATACTAAAGCATTCAGAATCCAGTAGAGAAAACCAGTGTCACTGACCTTTCCATATTGCAATTTGACGTATGGACTAACTTTTCCAGATCTGTCTTTCGTAACGAGATCCCTTGCTTCTACAATTGTTATCTTAAGTTTCCTTCCAGTTTTTGACAGAAGAGTTGATGATCCAATAAGTGATCGTTGAGAATTAGCACGGAGGTTGTTCAAGCTATGTGAACCATCAGAAAACTGCCACTCTTTTACTACAATCTTCACCTTTAACTGAAAAATGGATTAAAGAGTTAACATGAATAAAATTTTCATTTACTAACAATTTTATTGTGATTCAGAAATGTAAAACAACTTTCATTTTAAGTGCAACAATGTAGTTATAAGGACATTTTGATGGTAGCTCTTTCATGAAGATATTAGTGAGATAATATGAACTTGATACAACAAACCCAATCAACATAAGATGAAAAGAATTCTAAATCAACTGCAAGTTCTACTCCATAAGAACTGTCAATATGAAACTTTACCCCTTCGTGCATACAATGATCTGGACTAACGATAATTGCGAGATACAAACAATTCTTGAGCTTTTTAACCTAATTAGGCTGGCCTTTTAATAAATTGGTAATTGACATGATACCAGAGTCTCTATAACCAAGGAGCTTAATCATGTTGCTTAAATGTGATTACATAAATAAATAAAGAAGAGTTAAGTCATTCACTCAGATTAATTTCTTAGTACTTAAACAGCAAATAGATATTTTAATTAGTAAAGGAGAATGGCTTTGTACGCTTTGGCTAGATGAAAATCAAACACTGATAATGTAATATAACCAAATTGAGTCTATCATAAAATAAAGAGTTTGACAGAAGACAAGGAACTAATTATTACACGGGTCATAAATATTGTACCTCTGCTGAGTTGGTACCCTCAAATGGGACAACCATTTCAACTTCATCTCCACAAAACTTCGCATGTTTTGCTATTGCACTATAATCAGGTCCTATTGCCCACATTATTGTTGAATCATCTTCACAATGCCTCATCTTAAAGACCAAAAAAAAGTTAGCCTAGAATTGTAGATGATAATTTCCACAGAGATTAAAGAAAAAGGCTAGTAATAAATAAATATATAATTAATATACGGCTGCCTCAAAAGCGAGCATATAAGATAGTACCTTGATTTCACAACTTGCTAGGTGGTCACACTTTACACCGCTAGAAGGACGCTCATAAAGGTTTAAGCGAACAATTCCTGTATTATCATGTAAAACCATATTAAATGTAGTATCCCACGTTGGATTTGAACCATGACTCAGACCCGTCCTCCTTGTCAATTCCTCCACTTCTACCTCTACAAATGTCTGTAGGTCCTTGTCATCCAGGTTGCTTTCTGATCATCCATTGATTGTGCTATTCTGTTGCCTCAAAGATCGGCTACTCTTGAAGCAACTCCAAGAAAGTTTGTCTGCTGAAATCACTGACACGTATATAACGCCTCCAACAGCAGTTTTCCCCAAATTAACCACAGGCAAACTGAAACAACGACGTCGAGGTTCCACCATGGTTTTAACCAACGTATCAGTAAAAAGTTTATCCTGTAAAGATTTAGAAAAAGAAACTCAAATTCTCCAAGAATGTTCTGAAGAAACTTAACATGTGAGGCAAACCATGAGATTTCATTTCCTACTCAGCTATAGAGACAGATACAATAAGCTTTTACTAAACATTTTCACAAATTAGATTCTCTGGAACACACCAGCCATGGAGAAACCCCAGGCAACTCAGTGGCTGATTGGCTTGCTCCGCTTCCAAAGGCAATTCCTATTCTCACCTCAGGTGTTGACGAAAATGAATACAAAAGTGCCTTTCCATCTAGAATTGGAGTCACCAAAAGCTGCCAAAAAATGTGATTATCAATCAGCTCCGAAAAGAAAAGTGACCAATTCTAACCTAGTAATTCACTTCGATATCCGCTGCTTAAATTTCTACAGTTTTTTTCGTTTCATGACAGAGAAGCTTAACCAATAGGAAGTTATTTTTACATACCTCACCCTTTATATGAAGATTGTTAATCACAATTCTGGCTGTTCCAACGGAAAGCTTAGCAAGCATCAAAATGCTCATCTCGCTTGTGTCCCAATCAAAACTCAATTTCAGGACTCGCTGTCAAAATCAAATACCAACAGAATTCCGCATTTAAATCTCACATGTGGGCACACATCGACATTTATAGTCATAGTACAGCAGGAACCGTAAACTGGAACTTAAATCAACAAAACATGTGCAATAGAAATAGGGATTTCACATATAGTTACTTAGTTGGCCTTTTTCTCTGCCGCATTTTTAAAGATTTATATTGTCAACTTCTTAGACAACATGCGTCGTAAGAAGGGAGGTTCCAAGTTAAACATAAAAACAAGGTTCAAAGTCCTAGTACTATGATAATTTAATATTTTTCTTGTACATAAGTTGAGCATATTAGAGACCACACAACAGAAGCAGTTCAACAAGAAGACTATCAAGAGTAACAAAGATTGTAGTAGAAGTAGTGGTGGTGATCCAAGGAGTAAAATCATAAGAACGATAAAAAGGATATTTCCAGGAACCTATTTAATTAAATTGTGAAAAATCTGTATAGAAGTGATATCTGAAATCTGATGCAAACTGAAACCTGATCACCCGAGGTTGACCATCGCATCCCTTGAAGACCCAAACTTGGAGGGCATGATCCAAGTGAAAACTCTTGCACCTCAACTTTTTCCTGAAGGAAGGATTATTTTAGTTTAGTGCACATCTTCCAAGTTGAAACTCTTCCATAGATGAAAATGATTGTTACTTACTATAAATCTTGGTTTTCGAAGCTTTAAACGTTTCTGAGACTCAAAAGAAAGACAAAAGTCAATAAATTAATTCCAAGACAACAGTAACATTGCAGATCTCCAATATAGTACTCTGTAAGCATAATTGCAGATCTTATGGTGCAGATTCCAATGCAATAGACTTCTATAGGCAGAATTACAGATCTTAAGGATAATAAGCGATTTACTCATACGCCAAAAAATAAAAATGAAGCAGAATATAATCATCTAAGTGATGGAAGAAAATATATGCAGTTCTATCTAAATGTGGGAAAGCTTACTATAAAATTTAAAAGTTAAATAAAAATGTTAATTACATCAATGCATTGATTGGGAGGTGAGGAAATTTTACTTCAACTATGGCGGATAACCTTCTTGAGAACTTGGGGTTAAAATAGTTGGACCATATTTGTGTCAACAGCAGATTCAACCAGTCGCAGTGTTCCAATGGTGTCACTGGCTACAAGTACAGGAAGTTAAAGTAAGCTTCATGAAGCTCGTTGAGAATGTGAAAGGGAGAATTGGAATGAAGAAAGTACCGAGGTTTGGAGTAGGATTCGATTCCATTTCTTATTCAAGTCTTCCTCCAGCAGTTTGCGCTGATACTTCCCATACTGCAAATAAATGAAGTATTGTAATTGGTACCGTAATAGCAAAGGAGAACATGGCATTGATGTTTGGCAAGGAATATTCTTTTTCGAGGTAACCACAGAACTAAGACTAATTGCTTTAATGACTTTTCAAATTCAACAAAACCCCGACAAATACACAATAGATGACTATGCTTAGTATAGCTTACAGGGTAATATAACGTTAACTGTTACAATCTACTGATCTTCTTATTAACTCGTTGATTTGTTATATTTTTTGTGCTTTTCTCATAGGCAATAACACGGTGAAATACTAAACGTGAATAACTCTTTTGAGAAGAATTCGAACAATTGTGAGTGACTAGCTCCTTCTATTAAGCTCAACCCTCATTTGTACTTGATCTAATTTTAAATTAGCTTTGAAAGGCTTGGTTTAACAACTCAAAAGGGAATGACTGTGACACATTGCTACAAGCAAAAAAAACATTAATGAAATTCAAAGCAGTGATTGAAAAGGATGAAAAAAGAGAGAGAAGAATCGCCTACTTGCATAGATGCCCACAGAGCAAGAGCAAGGGAAAGCCAATTGGAGAAAGAAAATAGCCATCTGTGAATAGCCCAAGCAATGAATATGAGAGGAAGGAGGAGTGAAATCAAGCCCATCTTCTCCTTCACCTTCACCACATGGTTTAACAAGTCCATTGCAGCATCTTCAAGATGAATAGGATTGAACTTTTTCTTACTACCGGTATTACTCATGGCAGTGAGGGAAATGAAACCAACTTTCTGATTTTCTGAAGATGATCTTAGCAGCTATGTATGGTAGTTCTGGGATACTCTGATGTGAAGAGGGTAACAGGAAATGAAAGAAAAGAAAAAGGAAAGACAGCATAGCAAGAAATGCATATCCCTGGAGGATGAGGAATGGAACATTTTGGGAGAAAACGGAGGCATCTAACAAAACTAACCAAAGGAACTAGCACTTTATAGAAGAAAACTGTAAATCAGAAAACAAAGTCAATCTCAATTCTCACAACAAAGTCACACCACAATAAAAATCATCATTCTTCACCTTTTTGCAAGATAATATGTGGTTGGAGATGTTGTTTTTATAGCAGACGCATTTATATAAATCAAAATATTATTTACCTAATCAATTTTTATTAGTTTTAATCTAGATATGTGTAAATTTTATTAACCGTTATATTATATATATATACTTCATAGTTTATATACTATTTATAATCTTAACAAAATAATATTTTATCACAACAAAAGACAACATATTGATAAAGTTGATGTAGTTGAATAAAATAACTCTTTCTTTTATATTTTAAGTAAAACAAAAAATATCATTTTGTAATAATATGACAAAAATACTGGCAGACAAAAGCATGTGACATAATTGCGAATGATATCTCAACCTAACTACCCAACTTTTTATATATATAGATAGATATATATCACTTTAAATTTATTTGATATCAATAAATTAAAATAAAGCCTTTAAAAGTTGTATAGCATATATATTACTTTTAAGGTTAAAACTTACCCACATCCCTATTAAAATTACAATTCGATTTTGAAAGTGTCAATTGTCTTAAACTTTTTAAAATATGTAATAAATAAGTCTTTTCTATTAAATCGATAAAAACAGCGTTAAAATATATTGATGTAACATAAATGATGTGATTGAGATTTTCATCCGCGATTTGAAGAGAACAAAGAAACAATCGCATTTCAAAAAACTTAGGACAGGATAATTAAGGTGAGTTTCATTTCTTTGGTATTTAGGTATTTTGTTTATGATTTAGGGATAGAAAATGGGTTTTATGTATAAAATTTGTGGTACCCTATGACCCCTTTTTATGATAAACTATTTGCCCTTAACATATAAATGAAACTCTAACATTCTTCATGTTCTTCAAATATTATCGTTGAGTTGAAGCATGTCTTGTTCTTCTTCATCTATACAATGGCGTATAAAACTAGATAACATAGTCAACAAAGGTAATAGTTAACAAACCAAATCCATGTACAATTGCGTACAAAATTAAAATTATTGTCCAACAAATATAATTAACTATTACATCAAAATCAAGGTGTTGATAGTGAAGAAAATAGAAGTACAAATATTGTCCACATATTTCACATTGGAAGTGCATGGTCATTACATCACATGATATTATTTCTCAGAGGGTGAATTACATTAGTAGGTGTCACTCTTTTGTGTTTGTAGTCGTTGTGAGTAAGATTTTTTTTGCATACACCATATGTTTTTTTAATCATCTTTTTCTCAATTCATCATCATTCTTAAGGTCATTTTTGTCTAAATACCAAATTAATTCAACATAATAAACTCAGTCACGTGACCTACGTTACATCAGCATATCTTAAGGTCATTTTTGTCCATTTAACGGAAATGACATATTTATTACACATTTTAAAAAATTAGGATCCATTTGACACAACTTAAAACTTAAGGATTTTAGTACAAACATAAGATCATCCAAAAGTTTTAACCTATTTTCAAGTAAGAGGGCCAGGTAATTAATCATTTTATCTTGAATGAAAACTAATAAACAAACTACTAACTTTTTTTTTTCTTTTGTTTTCAAAAATGGTTATTAGTATCAATTTGATCTAATTATGGATTAATCTTTTATAAAATTAATCTAATTCGGTTCACTTATTAATTAATTGAAAAAAAATTGAATCCAATCTAACTTACTATAGGTTAAACATTTACTTAATTATATTTTTTTTCAATTGTAAAAAAAATAATTTTTTTCTAATTTAAATCTAAATAAATTTTAATTCAAAATA